TTCATAAATCAAAATCCATCAAGTTGCATAACACAAACACCATTAGAATTCCTCTCTCACCTTAAATACAACCCCCTTCGAGACCCGTCACGAATAAAACGTTAAAGGGCAATTTACATCATTAGTCCCTATATTTTAATTCTTATGTTATTTTAGTCTCTATAATTTTAATTAACTCGATTTTAACCTTGAATTTTTATGTTTTTTTTTTTGTTTCAATTTGGTCCAATTGGTTCAATAATTAGCATTTGTTTTGCTGAAAAATGTGCATATGAGTTGCATGCATCATACTTTTAGGAACATTACAAACTTGATCAACTTCGTAAGTTAACCTCAACAAACTCAGTGATCATTTTTCGTAAAACATTCTAACAGAATCATTAATATAGACCAAATTGACACAAAATCTAAAATTAAATATCAAAATTGATTCAATTGAAAATGTAATAACCAAAATGATACTAAAGATAAAATGTAGGGGCTACTAGTGTAATTTGTCCAACATTAAAATATCAACTCTAGGAATAGCAAACCTCATGTCAATTTCAATTCTTTTTACTTATCATTTACAAAAAAAAATCGGTGGTCTGTTGAAGAAGTACTAAAATTGATTGTAGGAGTTGCATGTACTACGTCAGAGATAGGTCGAAAGAGGTAAGTTATTTACAGCACAATCAAAAATTACAAGAAACTATTCAGGACACCAACATTTAACCATCACATCCTTGTGAAAACAGAAACTTCTAAACTTTACAAGGGAGAATTAAAATTCAGTGTAATAGACCAAAACTAATTACAAAGTAGAGGGTGCAACTCTTTTGTGTGGGTTTCTTGCACATGGAGAGTTGCAACCCCATGTTTATGTAATTAGTTTCAGTCTATTACATCGAATTGTCCACTTTACATCATATGGAGCAAACCTTTCATATGTACCAGAAATGCTAAAGACTTACAATTTTGGGAGAAGTTCTTGAGTGAATTTGGGGTATGTCCAAGTCAATACCCCAAGTGGTGCCCCAGAAGTGTAGTGTTTGGTGCAAGGGTAGAGCCCACTATTCTGTTGGGGCACAACGGAACAAGATGAGACTCGATATTTGGTGATTGGTGGGGACAGAAACACACGTGATGTCCCTAGACCACCTAATATTTGTTCCAATTTCACACACAATGATATGAGAGGGAAGTTGGACCTATATATTTGAGTGTGACATTAAAAATTTGGGTCAAATTGAAAAAATAAAATAAAATAAATTGGGGGTTTCAAACTTTCTTTTTTCTTTCTTTTTCTTTTTTTTTCATTCATATCTGAAATTATGCAGGTGGAAGGAAATCGTAGGGAAGTATTTCAAGGGTTCGGAGCGAACAGAAGAAAAATCAAAGGTAAAGAGTTCATTTTAGCACTACTTCCAGAAAACCAAGAACCAATTCTCCAATACATATTATCTATATATATATTATATATATATATGGAGAGAGAGAGATAGAGAGAGGGGGAAATAGTAATCACTTGGCATAGTGATCTATAATGTGGAGGGAAGCACAGATTTTCTTAGATGACGAAACAAATGGAACTAGGAAGATTTATTTTGTTTCAACAAAGAAAGTCCTCTCTTTAAACTCATAGCATCTCACTCTAAGCCTCCCTCACTAAGCCTTCGGATGTGCCACCGGGGTGGAGAGGGGTTCCGGCCACTGACCTCCTCTCTCCTCCTTCTACCCTTTTTCTCTTTTTCTTTATCTTTTTACTTGATAATATTGGAAGTTTGTCCTTCAAACCTTTTTTGGCACCACTGCCACCACACCGCCACTAGATCTACCACCTTCTCGCCTCCATAAATTCACCCTCACTAGATCTAGTCTCAATCTCTGACCCAGAGAAATTCTCTGGTTTGAACTAAATTTTCTTGGGTTGGTCCAGAGAAATTCTCTAGTTTGAATTAAATTTTCTCTGAGTTGGTTCCGAGAAATTCTTTGGTTTGGATTGAAATTTCTCTGGATTGATTAAAGGGACCTTAGACATTATGAAAATATTTGATATCATTTATGCTATAAAATCTTAATATCAAGGCCTTAAAAAAAATCCCCTATATTAAAAAGTAATTGCCAAAACAGCCTTGAAACTAGCACTCAACCAAGCTAAACATTCACATAATAATGATTTTATCATGCTTAGTGAATTTGATTAACTAACTAAATATGTATAGAAACCTATAATTTTCATATAAAATAAATATAGGTAGTGTGATAGCAGAATTTATATAGTGAAATAAATAAATAATTATTCCTTGTTGAAGACATATTGAAGACAATGGAAAAGATATTTATTTCTTTCTTACTTACAAATGAACCCAGTACATCTTTATATAGTGATGAGTCTATATCTATTATTATATCTAACTACTCTGTATCTAACAACTCTAACTAATACTCGAACAGAATTAAAACAGTTACAACTTCTTTAGATTAGTTACACTAGTATGTGACTCATCCTCATGAACTGTGCTGCATTCTGTTATTTAATCAGTATTTACATTCAAGAGTTGATAATTGCTCAAATGATGTGGTGTTTCAACCATTTGGTGCATGCAGCACAAGTGGAAAGACTTGAAGAAGCATGCAACAAATAAAACAGATGATAAACAGTGGTTGCTCTATGTGATGGCTGCCACTATTGAAGGAATACAATCAGATAAAACAGAAGAGTTCAAGAATGTTATTAAAGAGTGGTGTGTGACATCGCAAAGAACAGATCAAGCAAAAGCGGCTTGCGAGTGGCTGAACACAGTAACAAATATGGAGCTGGAACAACAACTCAATGAAATAAAGGATTTCGTGAGCCGTGCATATGATAAAATTCGTTACTGGAGAAATCCATCCTTGATGAACTAGGGACGGCTGCAAGAACACGTGGCCCAATAGTATTGTCTTCTGTCTTATGTTCAATGCTTTTTTTTTTTTGTGGATTGGCAATTTTAATGCTTCTTGTGTGTTTTAAGGACCTTAATATGTGTGCAATGTGGCTTTGAATACATTTGAATTATGGCTGGGATGTAATTGGTTAATCAAATACCATGTCATTAGTGTGAGAGTTTGAATGTCCCAATCTGTTCTAAAAAATAAAATAAAATAAATTAATATGTTGTGTTTGATTTTAATTGTGATTGTTATTTTGGGTATGCCGCCATCTAGGGCTGAGCAAAGAATCCGTGAAATCTGTAATCCAGTCCGATCCAGTCCAATCCGATAGGTTTGGATTGATTTTTTGAATCCGTGGTTCAGTTTCGGATTAAAGCCACAAAGTGAACAGTGAAAGCTTCTTTCTAGGAGATTTCTGGCAATGTTTCGGCGATATTCCGGTGACCTCTTTTAACACTTCTAAAGTATATATCTACACTCCTAAAGTACAGATTCACACTTCTAGATTGTACATTTGAGCTTTTTATAGCTAGAATAGGGGTAACCCACAATGATTCCCTCTTCTCTTAAGCCCTCTCTCATACCAATGTAGGTGTTCTTCCTCTTCAACTCTTGCTTTTTGTAGTGTCCCAAATACGACACCGGCAGTGGCGGAGTTACGCAGCGGCGACGAGACGATGGCGACAACAACAGCTAGTGTTGATGCAGATCTTATATAGTTTGATGCAAATCTAATTTTCTGAACCACATCTATGAAGATCGGTTGTTTTCCATAGATCATAACTTATTTTTTTAACAATTTGTTATTTTTTTTGTTGTTTGTAATTTGTTGTTTGATTGTTTATTTGACCTTTTGAGATCTTATTGCTTTTCTTTTGTTATATGTTATTTGTTTTATTAATATATCTGTTTTTCATGTTCTCAAAAAAATAAATAAATAAATAAATAAAAATGGAAGTTTTATTTGAAGTGTACATGATCAAATACACAAACACCGAAAGTACACCTCATAAATCAAAATCCATCAAGGTTTTTTATTTTTTACTTTTTTATCAGCAAAAAAAAAAAAAAAAACTTCCGATACACAACATCAAATAAAACCACCTTCGAGAGCCATCACAAATATAAACGTCAAAGGGCAATTTACATCATTAGTTCCTATATTTTGATCCTTTTGTTATTTTGGTCTCTATAATTTCAATTGATTCGATTATGACTTGGAATTTTTTTTCTTTTGTTTCAGTTTGGTCCAGTTAGTTCAATAATTAGCATTTTTTTTTGCTGAAAAATGTGCATATTAGTTGCATGTGTCATACTTTTAAGAACAAAATTATAAACGTAATCAACTCCGTAAGTTAAACTCAATAAACTCAGTGATCATTTTCTATAAACAAAATTCTAATAGAATCATCAATTTGACCAAATTGACACAAAATTTAAAATTAAATATCAAAATTGAGCCAATTGAAAATGTAAGGACCAAAATGACACTAAAAGTAAAATGTAAGGACTACTAGTGTAATTTGTCCAACGTTAAAATATCAACTCTGGGAATAACCACTACAAGAAATAACACTTTCACCGACCAAAAAATTGGTTGCTAAAAGCCCATTTTTAGTCAACAAAAGTTATCCACGACTAATTTTTTTGGTCGCTACTTTGGTCACCAATTGAGGGTCGGCAAAAGTAATTCACGACCAAAATTTTTGTTCATCAAGAAAAGTTGAATTTGCCGACTAAATTTTTGATCGCTAAATATATCATTATTGCAACTAATCCACTTTGTCACTAAAACACTTTGGTCGCGAAAAGTGATATTTTCCCGACCAAATATCTTAGTCGCCAATTGTCACATTCCACGACCAAACAGATTAGTTACCAAAAGTCGAGGAATCGCCGACTAACAATTTAGTCGCCAAAGGTAAGGAATTGCCGACCAATTTTTTTGTCGCCAAATCTCTTTTCTTTTTTCTTTTTTTCTTTTTTTTTTTTTGTTTTGAGAACAATCAATTTTTGTTTATAAACATTCAATCCAATATCAAACAAAATTCATTCAACCCAACCACAATTAAGAAACAATAACATTTAAAAAAGAAAAAACTTAAGAACAATAATTAACAAATTTCCTTTCTTGTAACTTCACTAAATCATCAAACAATAATTGAATTCCATTTAAAATAAAGATGAAAATATGTAACCGTAGTGCAGCACAGGGCATATTCAAGTCAAATCGAATTTAGTAAGCATGTCTTCTCAAAAGCTATATCCTCTTTGAAGTCCAACATGACACACAACTTGAAGCCTTTCACCTTCTTTAATGATTTAACATATCAACTTGCTTGGTAGCTGATCCAAACTAACATATCAACTTTATGGATAATTGACCCTCCACCCTTGCATGGCCGAATGAAATAGCCACTTGGAAGCATTTCAGCTCTCACAAACTGAGCAATAGCAGCTGCATTTGGGCTAGCACCAGAACCTGACAGAGATCTCTCATAAACCTTAAAAGATTGATGACAAAAAAGAACAAAGATAAAATTTTTGCATCACCAATTGTCCCAAAAGCATAAGTTTAAGAAAATAAGCGGAACAATGTATTCAATTAAGTCCAAACTCGATTCATTTGGTAATATTAATGCCCACAAGTAATACATTCAATCAAATGCTTTAAATAGTAAGAACATTTTTTTAGCAATATTGTTCTAATGGTGCAAATGCCATTTTGGTACATCTAGATCATTGCTTAACATTGCATTTATAACAGTTAAACAAAAATAAATTATGAATGGTGGCATCAATTCCTTTGTGACATTTGGGCCACCATTAAATATGCAAGCTTAACAAATAACAGAAAAGATTTATGATAAAATAATATATTTATAGTAATAACAATAGTTGATATTGACATTATTTTTCTGTATATATGAGTAGATCGTTTCTATATAAATTGTTTTAGAGCAACTCCAACACTCCCGATTTTTACCTCAAAGTGGGGCTAAAAAGATATTTTTCTATTTTATGGAGTCTCTTTTGAAACTAGTTTCCCCAAAATACTCCATGTTTTTTTCTATTCTATTTAAATATTCTTTTTTTGCCTTTTTAAATTTTAAGTGTGCAAATCCTTTTATTCATCATTCAACTCAATGTAGCAGATCATTTTCGTATATCCAAAACCCACAAACCATTCGCAATTTAAACTATGAGCATTTAAACGACTTTAGTAAAATTCACTATAGTTATTTCAACTGATATTCCAAAAACAATCTGAAACATTGCGCAGTCTAGTGCCACCCCTAAAAATGCACTATATAAATTGGGTTTGCAGCAACAAATATATGAAAGAACACATATCATAAAAAATGGAAATAGAAAAAAGATAAAAGAGCTGTTAAAAAATCATGAGTTGTTTGTTCCCTTCATCATTTGGAGTTGTTTGGTGAAGAGACCAATAAGAGCAGTAGAATAAAAACTATTTTTGGGGGTTCAACATTATTGACCATTAGATGTTACTCAAATCAAATCCCAACTCAAATCCCAAACAGGTTAGAACCATTTACTTACTTGTGCATCAGAAAGTGCACGACCAATAATGTCATTTCAAGTAATTGAGGTGGCAGGAATTGGAACAGATATCTCTTTGAAAGCATATGAAGCAACAAGATCAAGATTTGATAATTGTAGAGTTGATTCTATAATATTCACAATACATAAAATTGTACTATCAATCTGCATTTGTATAGCTTTCATAAATAAAATTTAGGACAAAAGAACGAAAAAGATTGATAAATATTGTCAGAGACATAAATTGGTTACATCAATTTGACAACAAAAGTTTGCATTTAGCTCATAATATTTTGGAGTCTAAGAAACATACCAATGAATCATTGATAAAGTCTGTCTCCTCCACAAAACGCTAACACTTTCCATCTTCATTGCATACTCTTTCACACCATCAACTTGTTCATTTACTAAGCAGAAAGCAATTGCTCTGCCATTGCAATTGATGTTTCAAGCTTCAGCTTCATTCTTTCAATTCATGTACTTGTTGACCCATCTAAAAAGCTATACAAAAAAATTTCAAATTCATAGAAACTACGGGTTCTCCAATGAGGATTAGTCATAGATAGTTCTTCAATCTCTTTCTGAACATGGTAGGAAACTGAAAGTTCTGCTTCAAGGGCAGATCGTGTATAGATACAGGATACAATGTCACATGTTCTAAATTAAGCAACTTCTAAGTATTTTCCTTGACGAAAGCAATAGCTTCCTCGAGTTGCATCAAATCATGTAAAAGAATTGAAGATTAGAATTACTTCATTAGCAAACCTAAATTAGAGGAAATTTGTCCATTCTTTATAGTCCCTCCTACAAGAAATCCCTTTGAATAAAATTAACAATCAAACTAGAGAATGCATAATTAAACCTCATTGGAATTCTAATAGAGATTAGATTTAATCAACACAAACACAACTTTTTTTCTTCCACTGCTGAGTGTAACGGAGAAAAAAAACCTGGAAAGCATCACAAATGGAGCCAAAACTAACAAAAAAAATAAATAAAAAAAGATTTTACATTAACTTAAATACTAAATGGACAATACATAATATATGATCTTATAACAAGAGAATACAGACATCAAGTTAACTACCCAAGCAACCAATCTTACTAATTTAATTTCCAATAAAACCCTAAACCCAAGCCGTAAAACTCGAAAAATTTTCACAATGACCAAATAAAGCTTCTCGATTTCTCAATCCAATCATTCCTTAAACAAATTCAGAAAGTCGAACTAACAGTGAACCAATAAGAAAATCAAAGCAATTTCCATACAAACATCTAAATACACACTGTACCTTGTCATTGGTGTAACCAAATTCGCCGAAATCAAAATGATCGTCATTGTAATGTCTCGCATCATTCTCTGTGTCTTCGAGTGGAAGCTGAACCTGAGCGAGCATAAGGTAATTAGGCTCGTTCTCGGATACAGAAGAAGAATCCAGAAATCAAAAATCCATTGGATATGGAGATACAAAGCAGACAGAGAAACAAAGAAGCAGATGGGAAGTAAGATACAGAGCAAAGATGGGACAAACCTACAAAGCCAGAATGAAGCGGCGATGGTCTATCACAGCAATGTCAAACGGCGAAAAACCCCGACGATCGACAAATGTCTGTGCAAGCATTTGAGAGGGAGAGAACTACAAATCGTGAGAGAGAACGGCTGTGCAAGGGTGAAAATCGTGGAGAGAAATGAGGGGTTTTACATACCAGCGAAAAAAGAGGGGACTTTTGGGAGGGAAGATGAAAATTGCATTCGCTAGAGTTTATGAGTTGATAATATATGATTGGATATTTTAGGTTTGTGAATTTTATAATGAATAATGCTTGGACCCCTTTTGGGGTCACCCCCTCACCCCTTGCCACGTGGTAGGGGGTGATTGGTGGAGCAGGAAAAAAAAGAAAAAGAAAAGGTAACTAATGAGAGAGAGAGGGGGTCAAAGGGGGTGGGGAGAAAAGGGGATGAATCATTACTCTTTTATAATTTTGATTTGAGAGCGAAAAATTTATTTAAAAGGCTTTTGAATAAGTGAAAAGTTTTGATGTGATATATGATATTTGATATAAAAGTTTATAATTCATAACTAAACATACAACTCAAAATTCTATTAAAGTTCATAAAAAATTTAAAAAATTTGGAAAATATTTTTTGTTGAATATATAATAATTACCAAGTGTCAATTGCAAAAAAAATAAATAAAAAAATTGCACTGTTCTAGTCAATCAACCAGACGACCAGTGGGACGACCGATTAATCTAAATTTTTCCACATTCGATCGAGTTTTTAAAAATGAGTGTGGAATTAATTTTTGAAAATAACAACTAAACACCATATGCAAACTAAAAGCTGGAATCATAATTCCAAAACTCTTCCAAATAGAGCCTAAGAATTGCTGTGCGAGGGACTTTTTTGGTTTGATTTTTTTTAAAAAAATTTAAAAATTAGTTTTCTAAAAATTAAATGTTTTTTTTTTGTATATATATATATATTTTTTTGAGTAAATATTTTTAAAATTTTAAATTTTTTTTTACTTTTTTAAATATACCTTACTTAGATGGTAACAACTCTTGCCGAGCTACCCATAATCCAGCATTAGGCCGTTCACTTCCAACAGCTTACACAAACCGTCTAAGCTCCGAGATGCCCAACCGGTCAACTGCATCTTGGCCAAGTCAACTCACCCTAGTTCTCCACCTCGGCCCAGCTCTATTTGGTTCATCATAGCTCGGTAAGGTCAACACGATTCATGGATAGAACACTCTGGTCGAGGTAATGGAGCTTGGTTGACATTGCTTGGTGGACCTAGTCCATTTCAGTCTGGCCCAACTAACTGTAAGGTAGTGGGCCGAGCTCGGCCCATCAAGTCAATAACTCGGCCATTTTGCAAGGCCAAAACTCCTCTCTCAATTGCCCCTTAATCCGTTATGCTCCAGTATAAATCGAATTACCAATACTGGCTAAGCTATATGAATTGCCTGGTTAGAACATTCCACGGTTCAAATCTGACGCCTTAAGGAGCCCGTTGCGAATCACACGCTACACAAAGCTCAGTGCGAGTTTCGTGCTGCCTAGAGCTCGATGCAAATACCACACCACACGTAACGCTGTTCAACCCACTACTTTGACGCAATGTCTTCTCAAGGGGACACGCGTCATAATGAAAGGCGCGATTTCTAAGAAACCTTTCAAATTTTTGGCGCCCTTTCAAGTGTGAGCCATATGCATACATCCTGTACTTTACTTCTTGATACTCACTATTCATCTTCTCTTCTGACATTGAACCCAGCAAGCCAGAGCATCCAGTCCCTATTTTCGACATTTCGTGCCCACATCAGAGCTTTTTCGTCAGGGATACTTCTTCACAGCCATCGTCAAAGCATCTTTCACTCGATCAAAACTTCGATCAAAGCTTCAACCCATAAGCTTCGATTTTGGTCTTTGGAAGAGAAGGAGAGGGAGATACAATATAGGAGGCTAAGGGCAATTTTTCTAACCCTTAAAACCAGAGCTGGAGGCTAGTTAAATAGGCAAAAAGAGGGGGGAAATGGGGGAAAAAATGGAGGGAAAACAATCAAGTTTCCCCCCAAAAATGCACCCCCCCCGGATACACAATCTGGGGGAAAAAGGAATACAGATTTGTAATGTACCAACCCTGAGGATCATGGCCAGCCAGTTTTCTTGGGCTTAGGTGGCCGGTCGGCTACCTCCCATGGCCGGCCGGCCAAGGGTCAAAAAGGTCAACGAAGATTAGTGGACGGCCATGCCATATTAGTGGCCTCCCATGTGTGTACAACACAACTATGTGGTTAAACATTGGAAATAGTGAACCAGGAGAGAGAACAACCCACTTTTCAAAGGGGTTCAAAAGGTTCAACAACAATTACTGGCCGGCCACCAAATATTGGTGGCCTCCCAGATGTGTACATCACAAATATGGGGGTTAGGGTTCAAGAAAATGGCCCAAGGGTGTTCAACATTGGCTTTGAAGTGCAGAAAATCGGGCAACGGAGGGCGATGAAGGGATAAAGTTGGCTGACAGAACAATTACTGGCCTCCCACCCTTGTACGGCCTTCTTACCAATGAAACAGAGGTCCCTGCCAAAAATGAACTAAAACCGACGCAGAATGAAGGTTCGGGGGCCGAAACGCGCAGTTCGGGGCCTCAAAAATGGGCTGTTAGGCACCGGGAGTAGTGTTCGACCACGAAGTCGGTCTCTCGGACCACAATGTCCCTCAAAAGGGAGCAAATAAGAAGTATGCCAAAAACCGGAGCAAACAGAGATGGTTAAGCAGTCCCGAACAAAGGCACACGGCTAACGATTCCGAAAAACCGAAAACCGGACTCCAAATGGGCAAAATGGCCTACGACCACGAAACGTATCCTACGGCCACTGAGAGATGATCTACGAGACCTCTCCCTCCCTTCGCGAAGAGAAAACAAAGAAAACAGAGCTTGGTTCGCAAACCGAGGCAAAGCACAAAAGAGTCCGAAAGTCCGGAGGCAAGGCTCGCAGCCGAGACTCTAAAACTTCTAAATGAGCACAATATGCAATATCACCAAGCGCTCAACTGGTGACGTCTGAGTCTCAAGGTCGGTCAAAAATGGGGTGTCTACAGTCGCCAAATCTCTTTTTTTTTTTAACAATTAATTTTTGTTTATAAACATTTAATCCAATATTGAACAAAATTCATTCAACCCAACCCAAATATAACATTAAAATTCATCATGTTTTCCTGCTCAATCCCAAACTTTACAATCATTCCATTCAAAACATTGAAACAGACAAGTTTTAAACATCCATCCATTGAAAACCAATAAGTAATTGAACAAAAATTAAAAAGAAAATCAATGAAAGAATCCAAAAAAAATTCTAAAACAGGAAGGAATATATATGGTTTTGAAGCATCAGCCTTGTGCTTGATCGTTCTCTTCACCAAGCATGTTCTTTTCACCAAGCATCAGCCTTGTGCTTGATCGTCCTAAAGAACCACCAAGCATGTTCTTTTCATTCTCAAATTCATCCTTGAATGCATTCCATAAAGTCATCCACTGAATAACCTTCTTGTGACAGATAATGAGAGCAGTGCAGTGCTGCAAAATAAAATGAAGTAAGATGATTATAATGAGGTGTAGATTTTCTGTTTGAAAACCAATGAGCTGAAATGGCTCAAAATGGGAAGAAAAGATAAACACAACATTAGACAACTTGCCTTTCTCTTCTCATAGAATTCAAGTCATACGTGGAAGAATTCTTCAAGAACTACAAATCAAAAGAATTAAATTGTAAATAACCTGAAAATTTGATACATGATTAGAGGTTAATCTAAACTGGTGTATAGTACAATCATACACAAATTCAGGGGTTTCATATTTCTTAATCACGCCTTTTGGGTCGAACAGATGCATGTTGCTTGTGCTAATAGTTGTGGTGAGTTTAAATTTCTTTAGCAAGCCCTCTTGCTTTGCCATGATCAAGTTCTCCTCGGACATAATAACTTCAAAGTGTACGGTGGTGTCATCGTTGTGCTCTCTGTAATCCTGCAACCAATAAAATCTATCGTGAGACTCCAAACACCTCACATACTACAACTTAATAATATACTACGAAATCAGTTCAAGAAATCAAACTTAATTATACCTTGATAAATGGGTCCTTGATTTTATCATTTCCTGTCATAATTGATTCAAGAAATTCTTTATAATCTTGAGTCCATCGTCGTATAGGCAGCTCATGTGTATCAAAACATAAATCACTAACGTATTAGCATTTTCTGGTATATCAAAAACATTTCATAATCAGACAGACATCCCTACTCTTTCCAAATCCTTTTGTTGCTCACCAAACTTGATATATATGAAGAAATCAAAATGATAATAGGACACATTCTCATGTGTATCACATCACTTCTAAGCAGAGAAAAGAATGAATTACTGCCATCATTTGCCTGCTTAAATAACAAAGGCTGAATTCGAGTGATTGCATATTTGTTGAAGGATTATGAAAAGCAATGGCAGGAAACTAACTAGACACTGTTACCTTATGCTCATACTCGAAGAAGGTAAAAAAATTTGAATGGGAACAAACCCAGAAAGATAAACAAAACCTAAAGGCTCCTTTTGGTACCTCCTTAAAATTGATTAGCTCAAAAGTTCCCACATTGGTGGTAGCTTTTGCTTCATCATTTCTTTTCCAATATAGTGTTTTCTGTTTAACAAGGATAGATGTCTGCATCAGACAATCCTAGAATAGAAATTTAGATTTTTTAAACTGAAATAATGAAATTTGAGTGTTGAACCAAGAGAATAAAGTTCATATTCTTGTCCCACTTTACTTGAGACCAAATTTTAGAAATCCAATATATAATATGGCAATATTTTGAGGACACTTTACATTTCTTTTGAAGAATAATCCAATCCGATATACTATCACTCCAAAGAGCAACTAAACTAGCAGGCAGAAAAATACTCTACA